GCAAGTAGGGGGATGAGAGGAACAGAGAGGCAGGAGAGGGTGTGCGACCACAGTGCTCTATTCAAAACGAATACCCAGCGCAGGAGGGGTGGGAAAAAATATCTTATATGTTGTACCGTATATACAATATTATATATGTGTGTGTAAATGTACATAGAGGTGCAAATCCACATGTGTATAAACACATAACGATGGAAGAGAAAGAGGGAGAGAGACAGAGAGAGAGAGAGAGACCAGCGCCAACTGAAAATAAAAGTGGACGAACTGGATGAAAGACTCCACTGCACCCCACAAGAGTCCTTTATTCTCCGGTTGTCTCCATTGGTGTTAACTGGATTCGACTTGACTCGATTGGACTCTGTTGGACACCGCAGGACCCCATCGAAATGGTCACAGGCCTCCAGTGGGATCCGTTGGGCTCCGTTAGACTCCACGGACCCCATCAAACATTATTGGACCCCTTGAACTCCATTGGACTTCATTGGTGCCGAGCTGCTTTGGACTTCATCGGACTCCAATGGACTCCTTCGAACTCCAACAGAGTCCGCCGGACTCCATTTGACCCACAGAACTTTGTTGGGCGAAACTGAATTCCATTGGGCTCCATTGGGCATCAGAGGACGCCATAGCACTCCATTAGACTGCATTGACCTAGATATGACTCGGACTCCCTTGGACCCCATAGGAACCCAGTGGACCCTATTGACTCCATTGAACTCCATTGCACTGAGTCGGACTGCAATAAACTCTACATGGAATGCCGAAGGACTCGAGCGGACGCCTTTGAAATCCAATCGGAGACCTTGGAATCCGTAGAACTCGATTGGACTACATTGGACTTCATACTCTAGGCTCGGGTTCCAAAGGACTCAAGTGGACTCCGTTGAACTCAATTGGAAGCCATGAGAGAACCACTGGTCTCCATTGGACGCCGTTAGCCCCCATGTGGCTCGACTGGGCTCCATTCGACTCTAACGGGCAACGTATGACTCCCTTGGCATACCCGTACGACTCCGTTGTACCAGATAAACCTCCATGTCGCTTCATGGCACTCCTTCGGATCCCGTTGGGCTCCATGGGATTCCATTGGGATATCATACGACTCAATTGGGTTACTTTGGAAGCCATTGATTGAATTGCCGTACGTTTTCATTGAGCCCCATTGAGCCCACTGGTCTTCGATGGACTCCATTGGACCCCGTTGGACTGCATTGGACTCTGTAGGACTCCACTGGACTCCACAGGACCACATTGGATGACAGTGGCCTCCATAGGGCTCCATAGGAATTCGTAGGATTCCATCAGACTCCAGTGGTCTCCATAGGACTCCATTGGACCCCATTGAACTCAAACGGTGTCCATTGAAATACGTTGGACTCAGCAGGACTCCATAAGGCTCTTTAGGTGTCGGCTGATACCGCTTAGGCTCGACTGAGCTCATTTGAACTCCAGTGGACTCCACTCGGAGGACACCCGCTCGTTCCGGTCGAGCCATCTGGGCTTCCACAGCCTCGATATTCTCAGTCCGCCTGGGCCAGTGCAGCAAACGCCGTCCAGAACGAACCACTCATGGTCCGGGATGCAGCATGCCTCATGATCAATCTTCCCCTCCCTTACGCGTCGTCCACTTCATCATCCTCAGCTGCCTCCACCTCTCCTTCTCCTCTTCCGCCTCCTCCCCCTCCTCCGCCTCCTCCTCCTTCTCCTCCATCTGCTCGTCATCTTCCGCCTGCTCATGCTTCTCCTCCTCCTCCTCCTCCTCCTCCTCCTCCTCCACCTCCCCTCATCCTCCACTCGCTCTCATCCTTCCTCCCTCCGCCTCCCTCCTCGTCCTCCTCCTCTACTTCCTCCTCCTCCCTACTCTGTTCCTCCTGCCTCCTCCTCCTCCTCCTCCTCCTCCTCCCTCCTCCTCCTCATCATCATCATCAAATCATCAGCAATCAGCTCAGCATCACACAACATCAGCACACATCATCATCATCAACATCATCATCATCATCAGCATCATCATCATCAATCATCCATCATCATCATCCTAATCCTCCTCCTTCTCGTCATCCTCCTCATTCTCCTCCTCCTCCTCCTCCTCCTCCTTCTCCTCCTCCTCCTCCTACTCACACTCAGGCTGATCCTCCTCTTCCTCGTCATCATCATCATCAGCAGCAGCAACATCATCATCATCATCATCATCATCAGCATCATCATCAGCAGCAGCATCATCATCCTCATCATCATCGTCATTATCATCATAGTCATCGTCATCAACATCAGCAGCATCAGCAGCAACAACATCCTCAGCGCCATCATCCTCATCATCAGCATCATCATCAGCATCAGCATCATCAGCATCATCATTCTCATCATCAACAACATCGCCGTCATCATCATAAGTATCATCGTCATACGTCCTCATCCTCATCCGCATCCTCATCCTCTCCCTCATCCTCATCCTCCTCATCAGCATCGTTGTCATCAGCATCATCATCACCATCATCACCATCCATCATCATCATGATCAGCATCATCATGATCATCATCAGCGTCAGCATCATCATCATCATCATCATCATCATCATCATCATCATCATCATCATCAGCATCGCCATCATGAGCAGCAGCAACAGCAGCAGCGACATAATCATCATCATCACCATTATCATCATAATCTGCATCATCATCATCATCATCAGTATTATGAGCAGCAGCCGCAGCAGCATCACCGTCAGCATCAGCATCGGAATCAGCATGAGTAATTAATCATCTTCATCATCCTCATCATCATCATCATCGTCCTCCTCATAAGTGCCATTATCATCCGCATCATCATCATCATCATCATCATCATCATCATCATCATCATCATCATCATGATCATCATCATCATCATCAGCATCATTATCATCATCATCGTCGTCGTCACCATCATCATCGTCCTCATCATCGGCATCATCATCTGTCTAAGCAGCAGCAGCATCAGCATCAGCAGCATCACCATCATCGACCGCATCATCAGCATCAGGATCTGAATCCTCAATCTCATCATCAACACCACCATCATCGTCAACACAGAAACGTCCTCGGCAGCGAAAGCATAACTATTATCAGCATCATCACCTGCAACAGTATCATCAGCAACACCAACAACATCCTTGCCCTCAGCATCATCAGCATCATCGCCATCAACAGCAGCAGCAGCATAACCAGCATCATCAACAGCAGCATCAGCATCATCAACATCAGCATCATCATCATCACCATCATCATCATAAGTATCATCATACATGCTCATCGTCATCCTCTTCCTCATCCTCATCATCCTCATCAGCATCGTCGTCATCGTCAGCAGCGTCATCATCATCCCCATCCATCATGATCATCATCATCATCACCATCATCATCATCATCTTCATCATCATCATCATCATCATCATCATCATCATCATCATCATCATCACCATTAGTACCATCATTTTCATCATCATGAGCAGCAGCAGCGGCAGCATCAGCATCATCATCAGCATCGTCATCGGCAGCATCAGCAGCATCAGCAGCATCAGCAGCATCTGCAGCATCACCATCACCATCAGCATCACCAGCATCATCAACAGCAGTATGAATGGCATCATCAGCATCATCATCATCATCATCATCATCATCATCATCATCATCATCATCATCATCATCATCATCACCAGTAGCATCAGCATCGTTATCATCATGATCACCAACGTCATCATCATCCTCATCATCACCAGCAGTATCAGCATCAGCATGAGCATCAGAATCAGCATCAGCATCATCACCTTCATCGTCCTCATACAACCATCATTATCCGCAGCATCGTCATGACTGTCATCACCATCGTTCTCGTCATCATCGTCGTCATCATCAGCAGTACCGTCATCATTAGCATCATGATCATCAACGTCGTCATCGTCATCATCATCATCAGCATCATCATCGGCATCATCGACATCAGCAGCATCAGCAGCAGCATCAGCATCAAAATCAGGATCATCATCATCACCTTCATTATCATGATACCACCATCATTATCAGCAGCATCGTCATCACTGTCATCAGCATCATCATCGTGATCATCGTCATCATCATCAGCATCGTCATCATCATCATCATCATCATCATCATCATCCTCATCATCATCTTCATCAGCATCAATATCACCATCATCACCATCATCATCAGCATCAGCATCATCATTATCATCACCATCATCGCTCCCTCCAGATACCTCCCATGCGGGAGGAACCCTTTCGGCTACCTCTCATGGCAGCGGGGCCACGCCTGACTGCCTCATGTCCTGCGAAGTCGTACTAAAGTTCAACTTCGTGCCGGGCGCGTTTTTGAGGCGCAACGACTTCGGGAACACCGCGCGGATCTTCTTCACGAACTGGCCAAGGCCAGGGCCAGGAGGAGCAGAAGCAGCAGCAGCAGCAGGAGGAGCAATGGAACAAGGAGCAGCAGCAGGATGAGCCGGAAGCAGGAGCAACATCCGACTCCTGCACGGCCAGTGGCGCAGAGGGTACCGAAGCGGCTAAGGGCCAGTCGATCGGTCAGTGCCAATATGCAGCAGCATGGACGGAGTGGGGAGCCGAATGCAACACCATTGGGCCAAGGAAGGGATCTCATAAGCAGCCAACAGAATGACGGTCGACGGCAACCGCGACGGCGACGGCGACAACGACGACGAGGGGGGAGGAGAGCCAGGAGGAGGCGTATGAGGAGGAGAAGGCAGGGGAGGAGCGGGAGCGGAAGCTGGAGCAGGAGCAGGCAAGGGGAGGAGAGCTCTACAGGGAGGGTTTCCGGGGATCCTAGGGGGCTCTAGCGGGTTTGGGGAGGAGCAGAAGGGGCAGGATAACGAGGAGGAGGAATGAGGAATGAAGAATGAGGCACGATGAGCAGGAGGAAAACGAGGAGGCATGGTGAGAAGGAGAAGGAGCAGCAGCAGCACCAGCAGCAGGGCGAGCCGAGGCGACGATGTTTGCCGATATCGGCATCGCAGGAATAGGAAGTGCTCAGCCGGTGGTGCTCAGATCATTCGCGGACGCGCCAAGACAGAGCCCAAAGCTGCGCGTGGACAAACAAGACCGAGGAGCACAGTCAAGCGGATGCGGGATCCAGTCCGCAGTGCCCAGCCACAAACTATTCGCACGCCCGCGCAACGATGGGAGCACACGTATACGCGAAGAGACTATTGATTAAGCAGTGGGGAAAAATCGCACACCTGCCCCGCCCTCGCCCTCCTTCCCCCTCCTCCTCCTCCTCCTCCTCCTCCTCCTCCTCCTCCTCTTCCTCCTCCACCTCCTCCTCCTCCTCCTCCTCCTCCTCCTCCTCGTCCTCTCCTCCCCCATCGTCTCTAACCTTCCCCTCCCCCTCCCCCACCTCCTCCTCTCACCCCCCCACCTCCCCCTCCTCCTCATCTATCCCGTATCCTTACAATGACACCAGCCCTCTGGGCGTACGTGGTCTAGGGCGTTTCCTCTTCCAACCCCCTTCTTCCCCTTCGGGGAGGGGTTTACACCTCCCCCTACCCCCTCCCCTGGACCTGGACGGGAGGGGTCGCGAGGGGTTGGAGCGTCCCAGATGGCCCAAGATGGCTCCAAGAGCGCCTCGGAGAGCCCAAGGTGAACTCCAAGATGGCTCAAGATATCCTAAGATGCCTCAAGATGGTTCCGAGGATGCTCCAAGAGGCCTCAAGACCGCCCCAAGACGGCTCCAAGAGGTCAAAGAGCTTTCCAAGGAGGCCTCCAAGAGGCAAAAAAAAATTGTTATTAAAAAAAGCCGTCTCGCCTTTTCGCTTCCGATGGCCATTCGGGGCCTCAAGATGGCTCCAAGATGGCCCAAGAGAGCCCCAAGAGATACCCAAGAGAGCCACAAGACGGCCCCGAGAGCGCCCAAGAGCGCTCCAAGAGCGCCTCAAGAGGGGTCCAGGAGGCTACGTTGAGGGCCCCCGAGGGGGGCGTAATTGAAGCTCCCCTCTTGTTTTATCGATCTCCTCCAAGATGGCCCCAAGAGGCGGCCAGGAGGCCCCAAGAGACCCCAGGATGGCCCCAAGATGGCTCCAAGATGGCCCAAGAGGGCCCCAAGAGGGACCCAAGAGAGCCCCAAGACGGCCCCAAGAGCGCCCAAGAGCGCTGCAAGAGCGCCCCAAGAGTGGTCCAGGAGGCTATTCTGGGGGCTCCCGAGGGGGGGGGGCGTAATTAGGGAACCTCCTTCTTTGATCGATCTCCTCCAAGACAGCCCCGAGAACGCCCGTAAAGCCGCCCAAGAGAGTTCCAAGAGGGCCCCAAGAGGCACCCAGACGGCCCCAAGAGGCGCCCAAAACGCTTCCAAGAGGCCTCCAAGAGACCCCCAAAGGACTCAAGAGGATCCCCGAGGCACCCAAGAAGCCCCCCAGACGCTCCAAGAGGCCTCCAAAACAAACGCCAGCAGCAACAGCACCACCACCAACAACAGAAACAACGGCACCAGCAGCAGCACCAGCAGCAGCACCAACAGCAGCACCAACAACGCGAGAACCAACAAAACCAGCAGCAGCACCACCACCACCACCAGCAGTAGCAGCAGCAGCAACAGCACCAACAGCAGCACCCGTACCATTCGCTACCAGAGATCTCGTAATTCACCGTTGTTGCCCGCGCTGTTTCATTATGTGCGTCTCTTCCTCCCTTCTCCCGTCAGCTCTCCTGGGCATCGTTTCTGGATGGGCTGGTGGGGATTTTGTTGTCGCGGCTGCAAGGGGTCCGACAGCGTCAGCAGAGTTAGCTCGGGCTACGAATAACCTAATTGCCGGCGCGTGCGCCGAGCTAGGCACCTAATTGCCGGCGCGCGCGCCGAGCAAGGCAGGCAAGACCTACCGCCGAGAGAGCCGCGCCGAGGCTGAGCTGCGCCGGGGGGAGAAGCTGCCAGCTGCGGAGGCGGCTGGGATGCTGCAACGTGCGAGTACCATGGGAGCTGAATCACCAGGCACGAGAATTAGGCCTCGTCGCCACCGGGCGCCACAGGACAGGGAATCAGACCGCCAGGTGACATGCCAGGCCGCACCAGAAGGCTGAACCACTACTGAACGACACGGCGGGCCAGTACCCCAGATGGCCAGCTGACAACCAGAGCCAGGGAAGTGCAAGCACTGCTGGAACTGGTCAGAACGCGCGAAACCTGAAGGCCAGGGGGGCTCACTCGGTACCACAGAACATCCACCGAGGCTGAGGGGGACGAAGCCCAGCGCCAATGGCGGAGTGGGAGCCAGACACGGCCAAGCCGGGCGGTGTGTGGGGACCAGGGCCCAGGGGAGTGCAAGCACAAGCGCCTGTACTGGTCAAGACGCGTGAGTCGAGGACGTCACGAAAGGGCCAGCGCCAGGGCAACCACGCCAGGCCGTGACGAGGTCCAGGCAAAGATCAGAGTGAAAACAGCTCTGTAACGGCCAGGGCCGTAAGGCACGTCGCGCCCCGCCCCAGCACTGGTGGGGATACTTTTTTGGATTCGCGGCCCGCAAGGAAAAGTCCAGAGGGCGGGGTGACCGAGGCTGGGGCACAGCGACAGATAATTGGCGCGACACCGCGCAGAGTGCACCTGCAGATAATTAACGACGCTGGACATGTGCCAGCAAAAGAGGCAACCGCGAAGGCACCAGCTGAAGCCCAGGCGCCACCACGCGGACCCCAAAAGCCGCTGAGCGTGTGCCAGCAGAAGGGGGGCGGGCGGAAATAGGTCGGACCCGCAGGTGGAGTCAGACTGCCAGGCGGGACCAAACCACCCACTTGCCTCTTATAAAAAAAAAAAAAAAAGAAAAAAAATAAATAAATAAAATAAATTAAAAAAATAAAAAAAAAAAAAAAATAAAAAAAGAAATAAACGATAAAAAAAAAAAAATAAAATAAGAAAAAAATAAAAAAAAAAATAAAAATTAAAAAAAAAATAAAAAAAAAAAAAAAAAAAAACAAATTATAAAGATAAAACAAAATAATAAAAAAAAATAAATATTAAAAATAAAAAAAAAAAAAAATAAATAAAAAAAAAAAATAAAAAAAAAAATAAAAAAATAACAAAAAAAAAAAAAAAAAAAATAGGGCGTGGGCCGGTGTGCAAGCCACCGAGGGGGCACGGGCCAATGCCTGAAGGGTGCCAGCCAACCACAGGAGAGGGCGCCCGCGATGGCCGCAGGCACCAAGGCGGTGTGGAGCCTCCGCTCCCAGAAGGCCCAACTGTGGCAGCCAACGTCTAGCACAAGCGTCAGGGCGGTGCCTTTGGCCGACGACCGTGTCCGCCGCAGCCGGCAAGCGGCCAACCTATGAGTCCAAAACTGCCGACCGCACTGTCTACACGCCCATGTGCAAGGGGGTCAGAGGTGATCGCCGCTCCTGCGGGCGACGACGTGGAAGTCACTGCACGTTGCCGACTCCAAAAGATGGGGCACCTGGAGGGGCTGAGGCCAGCGTCCGATGCGTCCCGGCCCGCACACGGCGCGGGCAAAGTGATTGAGTGGAGCGTGCCGAGAGCGGGAGAAAGCGTCTTGAGCGAGCCATCTTGGAGCACCACGGGCCGCCACTGCGGCCAAACCGACGACGGGACTATTCCAGCCGGCCGTACGGGCTAAAGGCCCACGAGAAGGCAGGAACTATCGCGGTGGTGGGGGTTTACCTCAACCCCAGGAGGTAACATCAGTCCGCCCCCGTGGCCCACTGCATCGGTGAAACACGTCCTGTCGCTAGCTGTGTCGAAAGGTGTGGCCGCCTGGTGGGAATCCAGTGGCCCTGGGGCCCACCGCAACTCATCTTCCGGCGGAAGTCGCCCCCCTGTGGCGACGAGGAAGGGGGGCTAGCAGCCGATAGCCGCAGTCTTAAGTGTAGAAGCAGTGGCGACGAGAAAGGGGGTCAGCAGCAGATAGCCGCAGGACAACAGATAGCACGTGGCGACGAGGGAAGGGGAGTGCAGCCGATAGCCGCGGAACTGGAAAGTGAAGCGAGAGGTCGGGGCGAGCGGCCTGAGCCGCAGGACATCGTCTGAGGTGGGATGTCCTAGGGGAGAACAGTCCCACGGTACACGTGCGCGGCAAGTCTTCCGCGAAGGGGGTCGCTCGTTGTCCCAGAAGCCCAACGCCGTGCGCCTTGGCGGCTTTTGATAGGGCCGGCCTCGCCCTAGTCGGGGGGCCTCTGCCAGGCCAGCTGCCGGGCTACCAGCGCGCGAGTTCCCTTCCTCGCTGCCGCTTGTCGGCGTATTGCTCGTCACTTCTCGGGGCGGTCCTTTTCTCCTTGTTCCCCCACGGAGCTCCCCTCCATGAGCTATCCTGGTGGTCCCACCCTTCCCAGCGCGGCCTTGGGCGCCATGGGGCTCCAGAGCTGGATGTTCCCGACCAGGTGGTCTCCCTGTAGTCGGTGTACGCTGGCGGGGCGGCTGTGTCAGCTCTGGGCCTGCTCCACGGGTGCTGCTGCAAAGCCCCGCTGTGTGTGCTGGAGGGCTGGGTCTGTTCGTGGTGGCTTGCCCTGTCGGGTGGGACGGGGGGGGGGGGGTACTGCCCTGCTGCTGTCGGACCAAGGGTATGGGTGGCCCTTGCTGTCTTGCCCCTTGGGTGCGCTGACCCTTGCGCCGCGATGTAGTAGGTTACGATAATTCTCGGTGACCTTTTGCCATTCCACCCGAAGATGGTGGTGCCTCACCAACTTATAGGCGTCGTAACCCGCAGCTTCCCACGCCCGCAGGAATTCTTCGCACAGCTCCCTTGTGTTCCTCCTGGGGTCCGAATGGATGTCGACCCAAGGACTGGTGGGGATACGCGAAGCGTCAACACTTAACTCCTCTTCGTCTGGTCATCAAACATGTTGATAGGACGTGCCAAGCGTTCCGCCTGAGATTTCATCCACCCCTATGACCACCCGAAGCTTGAAGGTCCAATCAGCTACACGGACGAAAGGGGCGAGTTCCAGACTGTGGCTCTCGCCTCCACGCCGCGCAGTGCTGTTTCAAAAGCTCTCACAAGAGGCACGGATACAGCGGGGGACGTTTTAAAATGTTGCTCTCGCCGTAGCGCCGCGCACAGTCGTCTAAAAAGTCCAACAATCACAAGAATGAAATGGAATTCGTTTCGAAAGTGTGGATCTCGCCATATCGCCGCACACCTTCGCCTTAAAGCTGCTGAATAATACACCGATGGAGGGCCGCTCTTTTCACAACGTGGCTCTCGCCTTATCGCCGCGCACAGCCGTCTTCACCATGCCAGTAATTACACGGGTGGAGACGGATTCGTTGTCAAACTGTCGATATCATCGATATCGTCTGCAAAACTTCCACCAAGTACACGGATGGAGGGGCCATTTCCAAACTGTTGCTCTCGCCTTAGCGCCGCGCGCGTTCGTTTCCAAAGCGTCCGAAAGGTACACGGATTGAGGGGGGTAGCTTTCAAAATGTGGCTCTAGAATTAGCGACGCGCACATCCGTGTTAAAAGATCCAAAGAATTGCTTGGATCGGGGAGGAATCGTTTTCAACATCTGGTTCTCCTCTCAACGCCGCGGACATTCGTCTTACAAGCTTCCAACGTCTACGCGGATGGAAGAAGGTTCTTGTTGGATTGCTGCTTCCCCTTAGCGCCGCGTGCATTCATGCTAACAGTTCCCAGCAGCTACACGGATGGAGCGCGGCTCCCTCTCCACCAAGGACTGTCGCTAGAGATGTCCAACACGGATAGAAGCGGGGCCCTCGCTTGAGATGTCATTCGGCTTTATGGGCGGACGTGTCGCATGCGAGAACATCTGCACAGATGTATGGAAGCTCGTTTTCAAAGCCTGGCTATCGCCAGACTTCCTCTGAACATTACAAGCCTACCTCGTCGCCGCCCGTAAAGCTAAAAGCATACATGACAGCTCCTCCTCAAATCGGGGCCCACACCTGGATTGCACGACCTGAATTCGAGGGAGCGCCGCTGCCCACCATGAAAACAAGTTGCTGCAGGGATTCAAGGGGAAGTTGGCCGGGTGAGCGTATTGCAGCCTCTTCAACACATCTCGGGTTTCCTCTGATCTTCCTCCTCCTCCTCTTCCTCCTCCTCCTCATCATCATCATCATCCACACCCTCCTCCACCCCATCCTCCACCCCTTTCTCCTCTCCTCCTCCTCCTCCTCCTCCTCCTCCTCCTCCTCATCATCATCATCATCATGCATCAACATCATCATCTCATCATCTTCATCATCAACATCATCATCATCATCACCATCATCATCATCATCATCATCAGCATCACATCATCATCATCATCATCATCATCATCATCATCATCATCATCATCATCATCATCATCATCATCATCATCATCATAATCAATCATCATCATCATCATCATCATCATCATCATCATCATCATCATCATCATCAACTTCATCAGCATCATCACCAACCGCCCTCGCCTCCTCCTCCTCCTCCTCCTCCTCCTCCTCCCTTCTTCCTCCTCTCCTTGCGACTCCTCCTCCTCCTCCTCCTCCTCCTCCTCCTCCTCCTCCTCCTCCTCCTCCTCCTCCTCCTACCTCCGCCTCCTCCTCCTCCTCCTCCTCCTCCTTCTCCTCCTCCTCCTCCTCCTCCTCCTCCTCCTCCTCCTCCTCCTCCTCCTCCTCCTCCTCCCTGCCAGGATGGGCGGGGCAGCTGCGCTCTTCTTGCCCCCCCAAGAGGTAGGCCGCGCGAGCGATGGCGGCGCGGACGGGCGCGCCACCCGAGCCCCGGCAGGCTGCAAGCGTGGCGGCGCGGCCCCCCCGCCCTCAATGCGGCCTTGCCGCTCCCTCGCCGCCGCGCGCGTTGCAGGAGGGCGGAAGTGCCCACCGCGCACCGGCCCCCCTGCCGCCTGCCCCGCCACACGCTGGCCACCTCACCGCCTCCCGCCTCTGCCGCCGCCGCCGCCCCCGCCACGGCCGCCGCCGTCCCCGCCGACCTTGCGGCCTCTGCCGCGGCCCTTGAAGCTGCCGATCGGGAACTTGGGCGGGTTCTGCTTGGGAGCGTCGTCGATGAGCAGGTAGTTCAGATCCGAGTGGTCCGGGAGGATGTAGTAGCGAATGTTCGACCCGCGGATGGACAGGTAGTGCATGCCCACCGGGTTCTTGTGCCGCACCGTCACCTTCACCTGCTTCAGGTGAGTGTTCATCGACGCGTCCACCCCGGTAAGGGTACCCTGGACAGAGGTGCCGTTCTTGAGCTCTATGGTCACCGTCTCGTTCACCAGCTTGCCCAAGAACCGTGTGAGCTTCATAGCCCCACCTGGTGCCAGAGCGCCCCAGACCCCTCTGGACTGAAACCCGTGCAGCGCCACGGGAAGGATCTAAAGCCCCGACGGCTCGAGCCCAAGTGATTGTGGAAGGAGCAGCAGCAGCTGCAGGATCGGGAAGAGGACGAAGAGGACAAAAACAAAGCTAGCACAGCAACCCTCCCTGTGTTGTTGGGCCCTCGCTGGCTCTCCGACGCACCACCCATCTTCTCACTCCCTCCCGGCTTCCTGCCTCCGTCCCTCTTCCTGCGGCTGCCGCTGCTGCTTCGGCACACCTCTCACACGGATCGTGTCCGCTCCCAGCGATGGCGTTCCTGTGCGCCCCCCGCCAAGATCGCCCCCCGCCCGTCACGCGGGCCGTGAACCGAAGGGAACTCCAAGTACGGCTACAGCGAGGGCGCTCCTTGGCAGCGCGCACAAGGGGGTGGGGGAAGGGGGGAGGGCTTCTTAGAAGCACCCCTGCTTCTTAGAAGGCGCTGGCCTTACATCTATAGATAAGGCCCGCGCCTTCCAAGAAGCTGGGGTGCTTCTAAGAAGCCCTCCCGCTCCCCCCACCCCCCTCTGCGCGTGGCGGAGCTCCTGCGCACCCCTCAATCCATTCTGGCACACCCCATCCCCGGGATCGTGCACCAGAGGGAGCCGCGGGCACAGCCCGCAGCGACGGCGTTCCTGCGCGCCCCCACGCCGATCTTCGGCACACCCCTGCCGCGGATCATGCAGCAGAGGGATCTCCAGCTCCAGCTCCAGCGAGCGCGTTCACCTGTGCAGCAGGAGGACGAGATCTGCACATCTCCACTGCTCCCTGGCCAGGCAGATCCTGAACCCGGCAGCGGTGCAGGCGCCACGCCCTCCTGGCTTGGCCGGGAGGGCGTACACACGGCTCCTGGGCTCAGGATGGGGCTGGCCAGGAAGCAGTGGACGTGTTTTTGTTTTTGTTGTTGGAAGGAGTGGCTGGCGTGGAAGCTGGAGGAGGAAACAACAAAAAAAAAAGGAAGCAGTGGACGTGTGTAGATGTCGTCGCCCGATGCAGGCCCCTGGCAGTTTCGGCACACCCCTCGCTCGGCTCCTGCCCCGAGAGGGCGCCCCGCCTGCGGCCCCAGGAGGGCGCGCTCGCACACGCCGGCCTCTGCTCCGGGCCAGCACACCCCTCGCTGACCCCGAGCGTCGCTGAGGCGGAGATGGGAGACGGCAGTGCGAGCTGCGCCAGCGCAGGACGAGAGCCAAGGACGAGGGTCTCGGCCCTCCTTCTCCAGCCTCCCCCTCCTCCTCCTCCTCCTCCTCCTCCTCCTCATCATCATCATCATCATCATCATCATCATCATCATCATCATCATCATCATCATCATCATCATCATCATCATCATCATCATCATCATCCTCACCCTCACACTCATCCTCATCCTCATCCTCATCATCATCATCATCAACAGCAGCAGCATCATCGTCATCACCACCACCACCACCACCACCACCACCATCATCATCATCATCATCATCATCATCATCATCATCACCACCATCATCATCCTCATCCTCATCACCACCATCATCATCATCATCCTCGCCATCATCATCATCATAATCATCCTCATCCCTCATCCTCATCCTCATCATAAGCATCAACCTCATCCTCATGATCATCCGCATCCTCACCCTTATCCTCATCATAATCATCAAAATCATCATCACCATCCTCATTATCATCCTCATCATCAGCAGCATCATCGTCATCATCATCAGCGTCATCATCATCAGCATCATCAATTTCGTAATCATGATCCTCATCATCAGCATCATCATCATCATCCTCAGTATCTTCGTCAGCATCATCATCATCAGCAGCAGCATCATCGTCATTATCGTCGTCAGCATCATCAGCATCGTCCTCATCCTCATTATCATTATCATCATCATCCTCGTCCCCATCCTCATCATCATCAGCAGCATCATCATAATCATAGTCATCATCAACATCATCGTCATCAGCATCAGCATCATCATCATCGTCATCATCCTCAGCATCATCAGCATCATCATCAACATCATCATCATGATCATCATCATCGGCGTCATCGTCATCATCATCGTCATGATCAGCATCATCCTCAGCATCTCCGTCATCATCATAGCATCAGCATCATCATCGTCATCATCATCATCATCTTCATCCTCATCCTCATCATCATCGTCATCCTCATCCTCATCCTCATAATCATCACCATCAGCATCAGCATCAGCAGCATCATCGTCATCATCAGCAGCATCATCGTCATCATCGTCATCATCCTCAGCATGAGCATCTTCGTCGTCATCATCATCGTCGTTGTCGTCATCATCATCATCGTCATCATCATCCTCATCCTCATCCTCATCCTCATCCTCATCATCATCCTCATTATCATCATCAGCATCATCGTCATCATCATCAGCATCATCATCGTCATCATCCTCAGCATCATCAACTTCGTCATCATCATCATCATCATCATCATCATCATCATCATCATCATCATCATCGTCGTCATCCTCATCCTCGTCATCATCGCCATCATCAGCATCATCAGTATCTTCGTCATCATCATCAGCAGCATCATCATTATCGTAATGATCATCGTCGTCATCATCATCATCATCATCATCATCATCATCATCATCATCATCATCATCATCCGCCGCCTCCTCCTCGCAGCCCAAAAGGGCAGCGGGAAGGGAAGAGGAGAGCAACGCCGGAAACAGTCGAGCAGGGCCCGCGCCCTCAGTATGGGCAGAAGCGGGCTGCCTTGTGGGCCCACGGCACTAGGTTGCGCGGTCGCGTGCGCCGAAACTGGGCACACCCCTCACACGGATCGTGCACTGCGTGAAGCTGTGGCCCCAGTGAGCGCGTTTGCATGCGGGCCTCAGCTCACTTCGACACACCCCTGCCCTATCCGCACTGCCCCGAACTCTATCCTTCCCTCGGCGCGCAGTCTGGGAGGTGAGGGCCACATGCAAGGCTACGCGTAGCTGCACAGTGTAGGGCCCTTCGCCAGGCTGATGTGCGTTTCGAACCTGACGAGCTCTCCCGAACAGTCTGTCCGATCGAGCCAGGAGCCAGCGCAGTCCGGAGGGCGCACCCAGGAAGCACTGCTCGAGGAGGCTTCGACGGGCGCCCTGCGGCCAGAAGGAAGGCGCGCAGATCGCCCGGCACTTGTCACGTCAGCGGCTCTAAGATGGGGCATCGTCAAGACGCAAGAGTCAGTTTACTTCGTGGCGGTGGAGTCCCGAGCACGCTTCAGGATCTTCAAACGATTGTCTCCAAATGGGCACCTCCCTCGGTAAAAATGGCCCCTTGCAGGGCCCTGTGAAGAGGGAGCTTGGAGGGAGGGTTTATTCCAACATCGTTGATGAGTTCTGGGTTTACACTGGTCCTCCTCCTCCTCCTCCTCCTCCTCCTCCTCCTCACGCCTCCTCCTCCTCCTCCTCCTCTCCTCCCGTTCTTTCGACGCGGTGCTCCGCCAAACACTCGGGCCACGGCCCCCCCCCAGCAGGCAAGGCTAGGCCGTGTGCAACAAAACCGTCGAGCTGTGAACTCCGACCATCGCTGGCGACTCAGCGGGCCCCGACGACCCGGGCCCCGACGTCCTGCTGCGGGCAGGCCGACGTGGCCCTCCGCTGGACGCTGGTCGCGAGAGCGGTCCCGTTGGACGCCTCCTCCACCTGCTCCTCCTGTGCCTCCTCCATCCTCCTCATCCTCCTCCTTCTTCTCATCGTACCTCCTCCTACTCCACCTCGCTTCATCCTCCTCATCCTCCTCCTCCTCCTCATCCCCATCTACCCTCTTCAAACAACAACAAAAAAAACAAAAAAAAACAAACAAAAAAAATCAATCAAAAATCTACAAAAACAAAAAGCAGGACAAATCAACGAAACAAACAACATCAAAAAAAACACAAAAAAAAATAACACAAGAAAATCCCAAAAAAATCAATCACGGAAAAAAACAAAAAAAAAAACATATACAAAACAACACAAGCATCAGCAGTACATTATCGTCATCATCAGCATCATCAAGCAGCAGGATCATTAGCAGTATCATTATCAGCATATCCCAATCATTATCGCCGACATATCATCACCCAGCATCATCAATCCTCAGCAGTAACATCAGCATGCATCAACATCAGCATCATCATCAAAACAAAAAAGAAAACAAAAAAAATCAATAAAACCACAACAACCCCCCCCCCCAAACAACAAAAAAAAAACAAAACAAAACAAAACAATCAAGAAAAAACAAAAATAAAAAACAAAAAAAAAAAAAGACAAACAAAATAAACAAAAAAAAAAGAATCACATCAATAAGAAAAAAGCTGCAGCAGCAGCCTCCTCCTCCTCCTCTCCCTCGCATCATCCACCTATCATCATCCTCGTCCTCCCCCTCCTCACCATCATAATCCTCCTCCTCCTCCTCCTCCTCCATTCCTTGCCTCCCGACTATCTTCTCTCTCAGTCGCACCCCGAGGCCAGTTTTTACGGCGGGTCGGGCGTGTTGCCGGAAACATCCTTGCCATTTACGACCCTGAAGCTTAAAAATTGATAGCAGTTTTACAGATGGAGGCCGGGTCGTTTTGAACATGTGGCTCTCGCCTTAGCGCCGCACGCATGCGCTTTAAAAATGTGCGAGAGCTTCACGGATTGAGGGCGGGTCGTTTTCAAAATGTGGTTCTCGCCCTAGCGCCTCGCCCACTCGTTTGAAAAAAATGCAAGGGCTTCACGGACTGAGGGCGGGTCGTCTTCAAAATGTAGCTCTCGCCTTAGCGCCGCGTACACTATTCGTGAAAACTCTGCAAGAGCTTCACGGATTGAGGACGGACCGTTTTCTAAATGTGGCTCTCGCCTTAGCACCGCGCACATTCGTTCTACAATGTTGCAAGAGCTTCACGGATTGAGGGCGGCTCCTTTTCAAAATGTGGCTCTCGCCTTAGCGCCGCGCGCATTCGAAATGCGCAAGAGCTGCACGGATTCACATGATCAGCGTACCAGACACGGCATGTTGGAAGGATGCAGGATTATGAGGGTGCATCAGTTACGTTGGTTCGCGGTGTTGAAATCCCAGAAATGGCATTCTGGCACGATTCGGGATCGTCAAGGTGCAACAGTTAGGTTGATCCGTGGCGTTGGAATCCCGAGAAC